GGGGCGGGGGGAGGGGTGCAACAATGAATGAATGGAATTCCAAAATCTCTGTAGATGTTCATTGAAATGAAAAATAAAGAAATTAAATTAAAAAAATTATATTTGTGATTTGTATGAATATTTACAAAGCATGTGTGATGTTTTTCAATAATTTATGTACATTTTTCTCTATAACATCAACTAAAATGCATACATCTGATCATCCATTTATTCTGTACTGTCTTCCCTTTCACTCATTTTGATGACTTCCAGGTTTTCCTAGACTCATCCTTTTATACATTCCATGTTCTGATTATTAGAGGATGTTTGCAGCTGTTTCTTTTCAGTTTAACTTATAAACAAATGCAGATCATTAATGCTTTTCTACTTCCACATCATTCATATTGACACTTCTCTAGTCTTAAGTCTTCTAGCTTAAGTGGTCGTCATCATCTAGTGTTATATTGGACAATGTTCTGTTGTTATTTATAAGATTTTAATGGGTCACTGTGTTAGCAAGTAGATTTCCAGATCCTTTTTCCTATTCTATCATATAATCTAGACGTTGGTGAAGTTTCTAACTCTTTTACAGGTAATATATGTATAAACTCAATAAGTATCTGTAAACACATGATAACATTTTATTTTCGTGGAAAAACAAATAGCAATGTAAAATCATGTTTTGAAGAAAGGAAACAGAGAAATGGATTTATTTTCATATCTTCATTCCACTGGAAGTCCAAAAGCTGAAATAAGAAAATGTGCCAACTAGACTAACAAAACTATAGAGAGGAAAAATTAGTAGAATCTGGTTTTGAAAGGATATTCTTTGAGTTCCTGATTTATCTTCCCTTAAAGGACAAAACTCTTTTGGAACTTTAATGTGTGTTCCATGCTAATAAAAAAGGACAAGGTGTATTTTATATCTGATTCCTCTTAAGAGTTCTGAATGTCAGATTCTATAGCTTTTATTCCAGAACGGAGCAAAGGATGCCTGCATTGCACATCATTGGGTAGGCAAAGATTTATAAATTTTCATTTTTATGAAAATGCTTGTTTGGAGAGAAAGTCATTCTGAAATAATTATTTAAAATTTATTTTACTGTCATTTTAATTTAACATCCTGAAATAATTTTAAAAAAGATTTTCTAAAGTAGCTCTCCAGAAAAGATAGAATCATGTTAAGTGATGGACTATCAGAATAAGGAAAAAAAAAAGTCATAAACTAATGATAATGACTATAGCTTATCTCATTCATGTCATAAGAAATTTAACTAAATGTTCTAGTAGTTTAATCTTCCAGAATTCTTCATGTCTCCCCATATAAGGAATATCTCTCTCTCTCTAAGTATAATTCTTAAGGGTAGTTATCAAAGTTGGTAGAGAGTTAACAAAAATGGAAACTCCTGCTCCACCCTGTGAGCTTCCTAACATTAGGGACACAGAAATAAGAGAAAGGAGAAAAATCAACTTTACAGAAATCTCAGGCTTATCATTATTATATTGAATGAGTAAATTAAACTTGAGCCTCATGTGTTTCCATTCAAAAATTTTAATAACATATACTTGGAGATTAGATTTAAAGGGACAGTGAAAACAAAACGTATTTTATGGTATACATATTATACAGGTTTCAAGAATTGGTTATGGTTATAATGTCCCCGTGATTAAAACGGCATCTAAAAGATACCTCATTTGTACAATTTTAGAGATCCTTTCTTTCCTAACACTTTCTTGATAGCAATCTGGACATCTTTGTTTCGGAGGCTATATACCATGGGATTTAGTAAAGGTGTGACAACGGTGTATATCACCGTCACCAACCTGTCTTTATTGGACACATAGCTTGCTGTAGGCCTTAGGTAGATAAAGGAAGCACAGCCATAGTGAACAATGACAACAGTGAGGTGAGAGGAACATGTAGAAAAGGCTTTCTTCCTTCCCTCAGCTGAGGGAATCTTCAGGATAGTCCTCAGAATGCAGACATAAGAAATGCAAATGAAGAAAAATGGGACCACAAGTACAAGAACTCCACAGATAAAGATGATAAATTCGTTAATATCTGTATTGGTGCAAGCCAGGCGAATGACTGGTGAGATATCACAGAAATAATGGTTGACCTTGTTGGCATTACAGAAAGGGAGACTAAAAACTAAATTTACTACCATAAGGGAAGCCAAGAAACCTCCAATCCCACAAATGCTTGCCAGTTTTCCACACATCTGCCAGCTCATAAGGATTGGGTAATGCAGAGGGTGACAAATGGCAGCATAGCGATCATAACCCATCACACCCAAGAGCAGGCAGTTAGTAATAGCAAAACCAAGGAAGAAGAACATCTGAATGGCACAGCAGGTGAAAGATATTGTCCTGGCCACAGAAAATAGATTGATAAGCATCTTGGGTAGAATGACAAAGGTATAAAAAGTCTCTGAGGTAGAGAGGATGCCAAGGAAAAAGTACATTGGTGTATGGAGGCTTCGATCCAGACGGATGATACTGATGATGGTGACATTGCCACTCAGGATGACTAGATACAGAAGGAAAAAAACCACAAAGAGGACAAGCTGAACTTCACCAAGGCTTGAAAAACCCAACAACAGGAACTCAGTGATCATGGTGAGGTTTTCTGCCATGACCTATGGAGAAGAGGGATCAAAGTAAACCATATTCAGGCTCCCGGGTTAAAAAAACAATCTGTGATATTTCTCCTCTGAATTGAAAAGTAAATTAGAATACAGAACAGTAGAATCTTAGTTCTGCAGAAAAGAATTCATTCTTTTTAACTATATACATTATTAGGTACATCATTGGTTTGGGCAATCTTTCAGGTTTACTCTGCATTTAATCTCATATGAATACTAAGATTACTAATTCTCTAAATTGACTCTTGTTTCCTCTTATGTTTTCATGGCTTGATGTTACCAAGAGTACTAAGAATGACTGTTCCCAGAACTAATTAATGATTGAAAAAATAGAGTGTATATTAGATTCACTATACCTCTCTAAAGTACTCAAGAGCAACAGTGTCTCTCTGGAGACTGAGGTGCTCCTGATACAGGCCATGGTCTTTGCAATCGCTTGTTATGCATCAGAGAGTTGGACAATGACTAGGGAGGACAGAAGGAGAGTTGATGCCTTTGAGCTGTGGTGCTGGAGAAGTGTATTGAATGTACCATGGACTGCCAGGAAAACAAACAGATTCATCTTGGAGAGGAATAAACCAAGCTACTCCTTGGAGACAAGGATTCTGGAGCTTCGTATGACGTACTTTGGACATGTTGCCAGGAGGGACGGGTCCTTGGAGAGGGACAACATGCTTGGGAGGGTGGAGGGAAGGCACAGGAGGAGAAGACCCTTTATGAAATGGATTGATTCGGTGATGGGTAATCGGGATGGGTGTGTCAGAGGCAGTGAGGTTGGCGCAGGATAGAGCAGGGTTTAGGGCTGTTGTGCATAGGGTCGCTATGAGTCACAAATGACTCGACGGCACATAACAACAACAACAACATAGTCTGAGAAAGTGAAGAGGCTTCCTTCTCTTTCTTTCTTTTTTTTTTTTTCATGGAGAGAAAAGCTAGGTTAGCCTCCTCCACATTTCTACTCTTTGATGTGGAGGATAGTGTTACAAATGCAATAGTTGGAATGGTTGCACAACTTCTTACCAATTTTCCAAATATCTCTACATGCTCTAAATATCTGTACATTCAAATTTTGTTAGTTTTGTAATAAAGTTTAGCAAAATGGAAGATAATTTTTAGCAAACTAGACATTTGGAGCTATTTGGAGAGTTGCAGATTATTCAGAGAGATTCCTGGTGATGCAGTGATGAGCAATCAGCTGCTAACTGAAAAGTGAGCCAGTGGAACCCACCAGCTGTTCCACAGGAGAAAAAGATGGCAATCTGCTTCTGTGAAGATCACAGGCCTGTAAGTACTAAGTGTCAATTAATCGATTAAGTAGGAATAAACTTGATGGCAATGAATAAAATAGCTATAGGCACCATTTTGAACCCTTATTCTATTGATGTGTGTTTTGAAATTACAAAGTAGGGGCCTATGGAGTATTAAGATACATTTAATATGCATCATTCTCGTTATCTTCTAAGATCTCCAAATGCTCTTGGAACACATTACCAATCATCAAAAAATAGAAAATAATTTCAAATTCATAATTACATCTGAAAAGCTAGAGTTTATCATGTTATTAATTTTCAATCTGATTTCCACCTGCTGATTATAATATAAATACATACCAACAGAAGAAAATAGTAATACATAAAGAGTACTTTGGCAGGTTAATTAATTTAGGAAATTATGATTATCCATTTGTATTCCTCCTTGGACAAAAATATAAACATCCATAAAATTATAAACAAATTGGTTTTGACTCATTGTTTTGTATAAAATGTGGGATATTTCTTGAAGGAACTGGATTTATTCCTACCACCTTTTTCTTCCACTTACTCATCATGACCTCTAGATTTCCTAAATCTCTTCGGAATTCACAAGAATAAAGCACAACATAGAGAATTTGAGTGGTGTAGTCTGAACAGAATTGTATGGCTAACCTAAAAGTGGCAATTCTCTGGCAGTTGGAATATGCCAGCCTTTCTTCTGGAGAAAGATGGACAATCTTATGCAATTTACAGCTTCTGAAAACTCACTGGAGGATCAGCTGTGAATTGGTTCTGACTAACAAGATGAGATGGAAAGAACAACAATTGTAGTAGAGTCATTTGAAGTTAGGAAAATTATCTCTCCTTGAAGGGGTTGGAAATTCTATGTGGATTGTGGAGACATAAAAAGACATAAAAGTAATGTAACTTGGTTTCAGGGCTTTATTAGATGCTTTCATGATTTGCTTCTTTAGATTTGTTGTTTGTTATGTGCCATCAAGTCAGAAGCAACTCATAGTTGAATCTCCAGTAGGTTTTCAGAGGCTGTAAATCACAAGATAGGAGATTGCTCATCTTTCTCCCTTGGAGCAGTTGGTAGATTAGCACAGTATGTGTTTGGGTTGACAGCACAACTCCTTAACATTAGGTCACCAGAGCTCTTTTCTTCAGATTTGTTGTTGCTAATAGGTGTCATCTTTTTTGCAGTGGTAATTCAAAAATCTCAAACTGTTTTTAATTCTATAGGGAGAGTGGTTAAGGTATTTTGTCATTGTTGGTTTGTATTTTTATTGATAGTCATATGCATTTTGTTTCATTCATGTACATAGTGATATGTTTGTGTGTTTCACACTCTTTCATTAACATTATGTTTCACATAATCATTCTCAAACATTTTGTTTTATACAATTAATCAACATTGAACCAGAGAGTTTTAAAAACTGAATTATAATTAAAAATAAGAATATTTATTATTGTTATAGGTATGGTTTCAAATTTATTACATTAATACATATCCAAACTTCTTTCATTTCTAGGAAGTAAAAAGTTTTAAAAATTCTTTATTTCAACTTCTTTGCAATGAAGGGAAAGTTTGGAAGTGTAGTAAATTTTAAAATATCTTCTAAATGTGTTAGCAAAAATTAGTCTGATAGAAATGTACTTTGATTAAGGACTAATAAAAAGAAAAATCTAATACAATATGGGATAATACCTTCTGGAACATAAAAAAGGGAGACTAAATCAAAGATCCAGTTGAAGCCAAAGATTATAAAGCTTTGCGTCTCATATTTTAAGCATGTTGCTAGGAGAGGATATTTCCTGGAGAGGGACCTCATACTTGGAAAAGTAGAGGAGTCACCCAAAGAGAGGAAGACCTTGAGTGAAATAGATTGACACAATTAGTGTAGCAATGGGCTCATGGCTTTCAGAGATAGTGAGATGACACAGGAGAGTACAAGGTTCAGATCTGTTGCTCACTGAATTGCTATGAGTCATACCAGACTTGACAGCACTTAACAACAGCAAACCTAAATAAGGAAGCTATGATGGCAGAGTGGTAAAGAATTGTGCTGTCAACCCAAAAGAAAATTGTGCTAATGAATCAGCTGCTTCACAGGAGAAAGAATGGCACCCTCTTCCATGTGATTTACAGCCTCTGAAAACCCCCTGAAGCTCAGCTATGATTGGGTTCTGATTCAATGACACCTAACAACAACAAACATAAAGAAGCAAATCATGAAAGTAAATAATACAGTTCAGTAAAAGAGGACTCTACAAAACAAACCAAATGAACACAAAGAAGAGAACAAATCAAACTAGAAACTATCACAATTAATTAGGTATAATGAAATAAAATATAGAAATACATCTAAATGATTATAGAGAAAATGATAAACACAGAATGAAGACAAAGACAATACAACTTAAATACTATTGGACTTCTGGTAAATCAAATTTATCATTTATAACTATTATTTAAAATGTTTTACTTAGAAATAGATTTGCATATATACTGAAAAATACACCATTTACATAGAAAAGTAGATCAATTAACTTTAAGACATATGCTAAAGAAAGTATTAATGTTTAACTATACGGAAGAAGTATCTATACCTTTGAACAAAAATACTGATTACTTAAAAAGAAGAAAAATATTACATTGGAACTAAATTTCTTTAGATAAATAAAAAAATAAACAATAAAAATATTAATATGTTTAAGAAATCCAAATTTGGCCAAGGATTCTTATACAAAGATATAATTTAAAACATGTTAAAATTTTAAAAATATCAAGATCACTAGCTTTTCTTGACAAAGTCACTAGATGAAGAACTCTATTCACTAAATTGCTTATAGATTTATACAATGAAATTCATGAAACATATAAATATTCTCAAATACATTCAATTCAGTTTGGTCTTTCAATGCCATTTCTGAATGTCGACCCTACTGTATATGATTTATGAATAAGTATCGACTTATTGTATATGAAAATTCAAAGTCATAAGAAAAAATTTATAGTATTAGATTTATGAAAAGCAATACTATGTAGAAGATGAAACTACAGTTTCTGGATACAAATAATCTGAGTTTGTGTCACACTTCTTTTTCTTTTTTTCTTAAGTGGATTTTTTTGTTTGTTTGTTTTAGTGACAATTTACAAATCACACTGATTTTTCATTTAATCATTCATACACATTTTATTTTATATTAAGATACTGAGGTTGTTAACCGTTACAGCATCCTTGGCTCCTCAATCAACACTTTTGGCACCAGGGAATAAAAAAAAAGAATTGCATTAGGTAAATATACTATCATGGACCTTTCCAGAGTATTGAGAAGCAACGATGTCAGTTTAGAGACTACGGTGCACCTGATCGAGTCCATGGTTTCTATAATTACTTTGTATGCATCAGAAAGCTAGAGAATGGCTAAGGAAAATAGAAGAAGAATTGATGCCTTTGAGTTGTAGTGCTAGAGAAGAATCCTGAGCATACTATGGACCGCCAAGAAAACTAATAGGTCTGTTTTAAGAGGTGGTGAAAGCAAGTTTCTCCTTGGAGGCTAGGATTTTGACGTTCCATCTTACATACTTTGGGCATGTGGCCAGGAGGAACCAATCCTTGGAGAAGGACATTATACTTGGAAGGGTGAAGGGACAAAGCAGGAGAGGAAGACCTCGGATGAGATTGATTGATAGGGCAGTGGGGGAGGGTGTGTCAGAGTCAGTGAGATTGGCTCAGGACAGGGCAGACTTCAGAGCAATTGTATA